TGGTTCGCAGAATAGGCCTGAAATAGAATAACATTCTTAGAAACATGTTTATTCTGTTGTTTGGTAATGCTTTTAGTTTCCAGGAATGAGCTATCCTCTTTCAATGGGAATAGTGATTTTTAAATAATTAATTTGGGAGGATGAGCTGCTGACCGGTTGGAAATCTTCAAATTGAAGAATTGTTTGAAATTAGATAGTTTGGGGATCTAATTGTTAATTATTATTTTTTTTTTTATGTTCAGTGGTCTAATTATACTATCGTATGCAATTCGATAACCTATTTGACCCTTATCGCTAAAAGTAAAAATGAATCACAAGGACAAAATAGTCATTTTAGTTTACTTTTTGTTCCCACACATTTCTTCTCCTTGTGAAAACTTTTTTTTCTTCTCATAACTAAGGTGGAAAAAGTTTTTCATGGACCAAATGAAAAAAAATCTCATTTTTCTCAAATTTAAGAAAAACCTTTTCCATAAAAAAATATTCTATCCAACCATTCCAACCAAACATCTCTTAAATATATTCCATATTTTTACTTTATCCCTTTTACTTCTTTAATTGATTGAAAACATGCAATTGTTAAACACGTATTAAAGACAACCTTATGAATAATAAGCTATTTGTTTGACCAACTTGAATAGGAGTACTCACATACTTTTACTTCCATATGACACATGTGAATCTAAAAAAAAATATATCTATATCAAGAATTAAAAATAAAAAATAAAAATTCAGTTTAAAAAATGAGATTTCAAATAGTATTCCCTTTCCAATATTTACAGACGAAATGATCAGACTTCAAAGCTGAACATTTCAACATAACTCAAGTTCTAAATTCTAAAACAGTTAAACAAATTGGAAACTATTAATCAATAAAAAAAATAAAAATAAAAAAAGGCCGCGATTCGACGTCATGTACTCGTGTAGAATAACTTCTTAGCGGCGGCCGGCGGCGACTTGGAACCGGCAAAGCGGGCAGGACTGGTGGAGGGAGAGCCACGTCATAAGGCAGGCTTCGTGGAACACGTGGCCGCACGGGACCCGCTTCCCACCCTTCGCTGGTATGAATTGGTCCATGCACACCGCACAGCTGTCACCGAAGGCGTCCACCGTCGGAATTTCAACTATGCGGCGGAGGAGTGGCTGCTCCTCGACGCCTCCGGGGATGTCTGCCGCCGGGCGGAGGTCGAGCGGCGCCAAAGCCATGTCGAGGTCGAACAGGTGATCCATGATTTCACTTGGCCTGGTAGAGCTGTGACGGTACGATCAATGATTGATGATTCTCAAATGTATATGGGATGCGTTCAACGTGTGTTAGTGTATATGACTATATGATACTATATAGAAAATCGGAGAGTTCGAGGGAGTAGTCCATATGTCTCACGATGTTTTCTTTTTTTTTTTTTTAACTTAGGGGGTGTCCATCATGACTTTTGTAGAGTTTTAAAGACTTTTAAAATAATAGATTTTAATAAACTTTGATTGACTTTTATAGAGTCGTTCAAAACTTTTTAAAACTTTATCAGACTCTATAAAAGTCTATATAAAAAACATTCATAGATTTTTATCAACTTTTTATTTTAAAAAGTCTACAAAAGTCATTGAAATTCTAAATTGAATACATCCTTACAAACTTTCAATGGTTTTGATTCTTTATCATTTATAATTTTCTTACAAATTATTTATAATATATCATAAAATTCTTCTTATTATATAGTTCTTCACTCACATCAACATTCTCAACATTATTATTTTTATCCATAGTATACTGAGACTTATATGCTAATTACTTATTCTTCAAAAAAAATGCTAATTATTTATATATATTATTAATAAACATCAACAAAAAAAAAAAAAACTATTTCATTAGAAATTCATAACAATATTGAACAATAAAATTTATAATAAAAGAATTGATCAAATAAAATATTTAAAAATATAATTACAAGTTACATAATTATAATAATTTTATTGAATTTAGATAGGTTTATAAAGTTTAAATAGGGAGAAAAAATAGAGTTTAAATAGAAAGAGAAAACATCCAAAGTTGGTAGAAAGAAAATTTTGAAATCTTGGGGTTGATGGTTGGATTTCAACTATTTATATTTGAGAAGGAAAAGTCTACAAAAGTCTTAAAATTAAAAAGTCTACAAAAGTTCATAACTTTTTGAATACCACATGACTTTTAAAGACTCTTTAAAAGTCTTAATCGAATACCATACGACTTTAAAAGACTCTTTAAAAATTTTGATTGAATACCGCCGCATGACTTTTAAAGACTCTCTAAAAGTATAAATTGAATACCTCCAAACTTTTAAAGTTCATAAAAGTCTTTAAAACTCTATGAAAGTCATGATTGAATACACATCCAAGACCTGCCTCCAATCATTATTCTATGGACCATGGTCCATTCAGCTGTGTGAATCACAAATAAAAAAAATATATTATTTGTGTATATAAAGTACATTATTTAAAAATACATTATTTGAGTACTGAACGTATATTATTTTATATGTTATCGGATAATGTACATTCAATACACAAATAATATATTCTTAGTATATTAAAAATGTACCATGTATTCAAGGAAAAATAAATTATTTGAGTACTAAAAAGTCTAAAAGTACATTATTATTTTTAGATAGATAGATTTCTAATTAGGTGAGAACAAGACTTTAGTTGCGAATGTGTGGTCTATTTTGGTTTATTACAAATTGTCTATTGCCTTTTTTTGAATACTATTACAATATAATGCAATATTTTATTTTATCGTCACCTCCACCGAGGCTCGATCCCACAACCTCCTTTATAAAAGAGCAACTTGAATTGGTGTCATTGGACTACACGGTCCTTGGCACTTAGTATTGATTACTAGTTTTTTACGCGCATTGCGCGATTGGGATAATGCCCAATGCTTTTTTTAAATAAGTACTTTAAAGTATATGAAGACAGGATTATATTGAAATTGTTCATGCATAGATAATTGAAGGTTGAATTTGCGTATTTAAATAGGTAATTCTTCTCCCAAAGGTTGAGTCACCAACCCCAAGGGCCCCCCACACTCCGGCCCGACAGAGCATTGTGGGAAGTTGTAAATCACGGTGACTCAATGGTTCAGCAGACAGGGTCAAATGCTGATACGCACAAGGAATCTGCCCACTTTGGACATAATTTCCGCACTGCCGCCGCCGAGGTTCAAACCTTGGTCTCTTCTCCCAAATACTACCCACTAAACCATTGAGCTAAGCCTGTGCGGGTTAAATAGGTAATTCTAAGTTTACAAATGCAAGATAATATAGTCAAGATTGATTATAATTGTCAATAAAATAATTGTATAGGTATGGTTGAAACCAAATACGGGACATAAGGGAGAACAAATAAAAATTAGGGCATAAAATATTAAATATATACTAATATTGTTTGAGAAGATTCCAACATTAGGATTTGTGGTTAAGTTCTATTAAGACTTTAATATTAGAATTAGATTAATGGTGTAGTTATAATTCTATATTAGACTTTAATAATTAAATAAATTCGCTGGTCAAATCCCGCTAGTATAATCTGCTAACGCTAACCGCTAACTGCTGATTGTCAAACAAAGACATTGCGAGGTAGTTCTCACTTCAATTTGTTGTGTGATTTGAATACTCTCTTTGTCACAAAATCTCTCAAGTAGTTAATATGGTTGGCTTTATTAATTATATATTTTTTTAATTTTTTCATAGTATTAATAAAATACTTGGTAAATAAATATATAGCATTATTTTGTATTATAACTTTGGTATTTAATTAGAAAAATAGTGTACAAAAAAGATAATAGTCAATGTAGTGAATATAATCAATTGATGAATTTGAATGTAAAAATATTTACATTTGAGAAAAATAAAGACAATATAACTAATGAAAATATTTCTCTTAATTAATTTATTGATAATGAATAATTTTTTTTCACTGAATTAAGACATTGTAAGGACAATGTATCAAATATAATCAATTAATAAATTTGAATATAAAGAATTTTTATATATTGTAGAAAGATAAAGACAATATAACTAATACAATTATTTCTCTTATTTAATTTATTGATAATGAATAATTTTTTTTGAATAAAGGCATTGTGGACACATAATTCTAAATTAAAGAAATGCATATCTATAATTTTTTGTTGTAGCTACTAAATTATTATTTATATAATTTAATAAGAGTAAAATAGAGTACTAATTATGCCAACTTTGATTGGGATGAGGTTCGAACCTAAGACCTTTTTTTTTTTTTTTTTTTTTTTTTATTGAAATCAATGAGTAAGTTAACGGTAAACTAACGGCAATTCTTAAAATTTTAACGGAATTAGTAACGGTGTGTGGGTATTTTAGGAAAATTTAGTGTAAAATTTAAATCTTATCAATTTTTTAATCAATCTGAGCCATTCATTTGATTAAAATCTGTGACCGTCATTTTTTCTACCCATTATAGGCCTAACTCTCTTGGGCTCTTATTAGTATAGTAGATAGTAGATATATATATATATATATATATATATATATATATATATATATATATATATATATATATATATATATATATATATATCTACAATTATGTTATGATCTATTTTTATTATATTCAACCCGTCTCACAAATTGAGACTCCTAAGATGGTCTCACATCTCCATAACAAAGTAATAAAAATACGGAGTATTAACAAAGCAAAATATATATTTTTTTAAACAGGAGAATTTTAACAAATCAAGATAATAGCAATAAAATAAAAATAGTTGATTATTAATTTTAACACAACTAGTATTTCACCCGTGCGATGCACGGACATATATTTGGCAATATTGCAATTATGTTAATAAATTAAAAGTAATTTTATTTGTTATTATAGTGGCTATATGCCCTGTTTTTCTTAATTGGAAACATTTAATAATTTTTAAAAACTGTTACATATATACAAAACAATAATAAAATTATGATATGACATTGAATATCAGTATAAAATTACAAATTATTGAAAATTTCTTTGTACACTACATTTTCTGTAGTGTTCAAACCCACATTCGAGTCTCCACATATTAAGATTTTCAGCCCATCTGGATTACTTACCCGAGATGCTGCTACATACAACTGTCCATGGTTAAACACGGGTTTCTTTAATAGTAGTCCGACATTAGATAAAGTTTGTCCTTGACTCTTGTTTATTGTCATAGCATATGACAACAATATTGGAAATTGCTTCCTCTGAAATTTAAACGATAGTCTTGGGTCAGAAGGAGTCAATCCCAATCTTGGTATTAATACCCTGGTGCCTGCATTGTTGCCACACAGAATTTGAGCTTCAATGACATGGTTTCCTAATTGTGTAATGATCAACCTTGTACCATTGCACAATCCCAATGAGTGGTCTATATTTCTGAGCAGCATAATTGGCGATCCAACCTTTAATGTTAAAGAATGGTTTGGAACACCGGAGCATCTCAAACTGTTAAGGAACTCTGTAGTGTGAACCTCCGATAACATATCAGAACTTGTATCTGACTTGCAAACCGAATCACAGCTCAAATATGTCTTGGAAGTTGCATCATTCATACTGTTCATGTATTCATTCACCTTGTCCACAACATCTAATGTTGGAGCTAATATAGCTCGGGACTCTAAAAATTTATGATCAAATTGACCATGACCGTATGAAGGAAATGTGCGTTGGACAATTTCTGCTATGGGGTCAACTTCATTTCTTAAAACAAAATTATCTGGAATCCTTATATTGAAGACACCATTTTTCTCTTCTCCTAAATTTCCATCTCCTAGATCAGCAATCCATTTTGCAAAGCTGTTTAACTTAGCAACTTCTTCTGCACTTGAAATTCCACGCAACCTAAGATTCTTGGTTAAGCGTAGTACTTCGCAATTACTCCACAAGTATGATGAGTTTATACTTGCTTGTACTATTTCTTGTCTGCTGCCTTTTGGTATAACTGGTAGTATTTGTCTAAAATCACCTCCAAGTACCACTGTTTTTCCACCAAAAGACATTTCTAAGCTTTTTGGATTGGTGAATCGCAATATGTCTCTCATTGTCCGATCTAATGCTTCAAAACAATGTTTGTGCATCATCGGAGCTTCATCCCATATGATTAACTTAGCTTTTATAATCAATTCAGCAAGTGGACTACCTTGGCTAATGTTGCAAGTTGGGTCTTCATTCACTGCAATGGGGATAGAAAATCTTGAGTGTGCAGTCCTTCCACCCGGTAAAAGTAGCGAGGCTATACCGCTTGATGCTACATTCAAAACAACTTGTCCCTTTGACCTTAAAGCAGCCGACAGTGTCCTCCATAAAAATGTCTTGCCAGTTCCACCATATCCATAAACAAAGAACAAACCACCTTTATTAGATTCAACATCCACAATCACTTTGTTGTATATGAGTAATTGTTCATCAGTTAAAAGAAAATACTAACCATTTTGCAAAGATGTAAGAGAAGTTGATCCTCTAGTTACAGTGTTCAAATTTAGCATTAACAACCGATTAAACCGTAAATTGCCTTGAGTTAAGGTTTTATTAACAACACATGAACCTAAAATGTGTAAATTGAAAAAATTATAAAACTAAAATGAATGACATGAATGGAAAAAATCATTAAAAAAAAAATCAATTTTTTCTATTTTATTAGATGTACCGTTTATGTTGTTTTTGAATGGTTGACAAATGATATTTTGATTAACATTCGGCACTTCCCCTAATGACCGTTGGCATGTTCAAGAATTTTTATATTAGCTAGTACTATTAAAATTTTTAACAACATTTAATTTTACAAATGATTACATTGTAGCGGTATTTAACAATGATATAGTCTTAAAAATCAAGCAATCAAGATATATATAATCCCTAAAATTTTAAAATAATATACTAATCATCCTGCCAATGGTTACATTTTAAAAATAAATGATTAATTACAACTTTCAAATTATTAAAATATAACATTTGACAAAGGATTACATTGTATGAGTATTTAACAATGATATAGTCTTACAAATGTAAAAAAGATTTAACATAATATATAAAATGTTTAACGAACAATTGAAATAATAAATTAATAACAATACGCCAATACCATTAGTCACGGTGCTAGATGGGGTTTCCATATTGTTACGAAGAGGCCTAAGTACACGCCTCTTATTCGTTGTTAAAGTGTTGTTGCATGTCAAAATGGACTTTGAAGTGCTTGGCAAATGATTGTTTTGATTACCTGAACAAAATAGCAAGAAAAAGCAATACTTCAATCTTACACTAAAACTAAATTTCATTCTCCAAAAACACATTGAAAAGAAAAATTATTTACCTTTCATTTGATTGCTTGACGGGGTGTTGAATTCTTGTAATGGTATTGAAGTGTCATGATCTCTAAAGTTGATATGATTCTCTTTATCAAAATGGATTTCTAGATTGGTAGATTGATTTTGTCCAACTTCATCTTCTGCCATATCAAATACGCAATTAACACTTAGTTTAGCTAAATATATCAATATATATATTATAATTGGAACTCTAAGTTAAGAAACATTCGATGAATACATCAATTTCTTTAGTACCAATTCAACATATTATGATTTATGCAAAAAATGACATTGTAAGCAGTTAAATGTTATAAAAACTAAATAAATAATTATTTAGTTATTGATCAAAGTGTAAACCCTATGTGATATACTAAATAAATAATTATTCTGTATTTTTATTAATCAAAGTCTTCTCTGTACCAATATATAAAATTTAAAAAAAAAAAAAAAACAATATGCCAACCTCGGCATACACGTGTAATGTACCCATGATCCATTTAGCTAGGTAAGACTTCCTTTCTCAGAAATGAAGAAGAAATGTCGAGAAGAAGCATTCTAGACATTTCCGATCTTCTAGCTATCTGTGTTACCATGGACCTATCTAGACAAAGCACTGAATCCCTCTATATTTCTTCATCCACAGTCAATTTCTATTTCTACGCATCAAGATTACATAGAGTATTAAGTTGTAATGTTTTCACAATCCAGATCTGGAAACGTAGAATGAGTATTTGGTTTTATTTTCCTTTGAGTTCTGTTCTACCAAACAGTTGTAATGCTTCTCTTCCTAGATCTAGATCTGTTCATGGCCCAAAAGTTTTGGTTTTGAGATGGTATAAATTTTCGATTATCTCTAATAGTTTTCTACGGATCTACAGTGCTCTGTTGCTAGATCTGGATTTTAAGACAGCCGATCTCAAAGAAGGATATACAGATTTGCTTAAACAAGTAGTTTTAATTATATATACAAATTGTTCTTATACAAACCATATGTTTTTGTTTTACTCTATAAATTCATCGCCGGGTTATAAACAAACTGTAATATGATTTTTATTGTTGTCTTCCCTAAAATGTCTCAGCCAGAAGATTTACTCTGAATTTCTACGAAGAGAAGAATGCAGATAAAGCCTTATAGGTAACCAAATGTTTATTACCTGGTTGAGTTGTTATGTTCTTCCTTTTGCCGCGGATGACTGTGGATGCACTGATCTTCCTCATTGCGTGAGCAGTAGTATTCCTTTGTGTGTAATCTGGTAGGCTATGTGCAGAGCATGCTTGAATAAGTTTTTTTCTGTCAGTACATTAGACTGTAATTACTTGATTTTTGAGTTGATATAGAGCAGGATTTGATTCCCATTAATGATTAGTCTTATTGGGAATAAGAAAAGTCTTTTACTATTCCACCATTGCTATTAATTTGACTTAAATATTTATTTCATACTAACCATTTACTTGCAGAAAATGGTATATGATGAACTTTGTTTCTAATGCCCATGTTGAATGTATCTCGATTGCTATACTTGAATGTAGTTATGTATCTAATACGTATAAGTTGTTTGCAAAATAAATTGCAGATGATTAATTATGATGTAGATGGTAGTGTATGTAGCTTTATGTTAGTTTAATATTACTGCTTATAGGATTACTGCTTTGCAATAAATTACTTTGTTTAGCAATTAGTGAATTTATCTTAACTTTTTATTCACTACTAACCTTTATTTTTCAGGATTTGGCAGGTGATGAAAGTACATTCTGATGCCACAATTTATTCCAACGTGATCAAACAATACCTATACATTCTGCTACACTCATTATAGACACAATAAGAGTTTAAATTTAGTGTTTTATGGTCCACTATTTTAATGCAGTACTCACTATTTGCTTATTTGGTTTAAAATCTCTTGTTCTTGGTTAACTGAATTAATAGTTGCTTATTTGGTTTAGTGTCTGTTTACAAAGTTAAAAAACCTCTGTGAATGTTGCATTATATTCCAGTCAGAGGTAAATGAAGACATAGGCTGCCAAGGGTATTTATTTTCACTAAAGTATTCTTACATTTATAATTAGCATTAATGCAGTATTTTTTCAACATTCACAATTTTTCAATATCATTATATTTTTAAAACCTGATTTGGCTATATATATGTATCTATGTTCTAAAACTGAATTAATACTTGCTTATTTGGTTTACTGTCTGTTTAAAAAGTTAAATAACTTCTGTGAATGTTGTATTAATTCCAGTCATAGCTAAATGAAGACATAGGCTACCCAGGGAATTTATTTGCACTAAATTAATCTTAAATTGTAAGTTTACATGAATGCATTAATTGTAGCTCCATTATTTTAGTTTAGGTAATGTTTTTGACTTAAGTCTGGAAATTCCTTATATTAGATTCAGTGAAGTTGATGTAGCTCAATTCTTGTTATATGAAGACAAAGTCCCATTGATAGGTAATTTTATGCCATCCATTATTATTATTATTTTTCATATAGTTTAATTGAAGTAATTTAATCCATTTATAATAAGACTGTTCTATTTGTTTTAATGTCAGGAAAGTGCAAGCTTAAAACTATATAACACACATAAAGTGTTGTGAAATCAAGACTTAACTTTGAAAGGGATGAACCATTTGATGGTGAAAACAAAGGATTTACCTTTATGTGTGTTATATAGTTTTCTGAAGACAAAGTCCCATTGATAGGTAATTTTCTGCCAATCCTTTTTTTTTTTTTTTTTTTTTTTTTTTTTTTTTTTTTGCATATAGTTTAAATGAAGTAAGAAAATCCATTTATAATAAGAATGTTCAATTTGTTTGAATGTAGGAAAGTGCAATCTTAAAACTATATAACACACATAAAGTGTTGTGAAATCAAGACTTCACTTTGAAAGGGATGAACCATTTGATGGTGAAACCAAAGGATAGAGCTTTTACAGGTAAAAATCCATATATATTGCTATTTACACATTACATAACATTGTAGATTACATAGAAAGGTAGTACAAATTGATGCTCTAAATCTATTTTCAATTCTAAATGTAGTACATTGAATTGTCCTTAAAGCTTCTTGGTGATCTTCAGTCTTCAATGTGCAATGTGTCATGAGCATTTATACAACCTGCATTAGAAAATAGATAGCAAACATAGAATAATAGACAATAAAATAAACATAGTTTAATATAGTTAGTCAAAACCACTAAGATATCACATGAATGTTGAAAGGCCATCCACCTTAAAGTTTAATAATGTCCATTGCAATGTTAACCAAAAAAAAAAAACAAAAGTCCTTGTCCCAAAAGAGCATAAAAACTGCGCAATGTCACCAAAACAGATAAAGTTGCAGAACCCTTAGTCAAACCGCATTACAACAACAAACTGATTGAGTTCATTTTTTTTCCTGCTTAATATCAATTGGTTTTGATTTTTTTTGCATCTTGAGTTGATGAGAACTGGTCCATCAGATTTCTCTTGGTTGAACCTGGAGATATGTGTTCATCATTATCTGCCATCATAGGTTTCTGACTTTGCTGTACAGCAGGGCTACTGGCCTCATCAGATGAATCTCCAGATTCATAATCCTGAGTTAAAAAATAGCATGTTTTTTTAAAAAAAAATCAATCAAATAAGCAACATAAAACGAAATGTCTAGAAGGTCAGTTACACACATTAGGATCGTCCTCTTCTTCTTCTTCAGCAAGTAGTTTTGAGAGCTCATCCTTATCATCTTTAAGAGTACAGTGTGCTGCCACCAATTCATCATCATGCGTTATGTTCACCACAGGAATAGGTAAGAAAGGGTTTTTAATGTGGTCATTCTTTACTGATACTTTAAAAACCATAGCTTTGCCTCTGAGAGCATCAAATTCTGTTGGAATCTTTGTAGGATCCTGCAAATTACAATGAAAGTTTAATTTTTCATAATAGTAGGTTGTATTAACTATTAAAGCATATATAAAAAAAAGGTTGAAAAAAAAAAATCAAACCTCCAAGTATTTGTTTCTGAGATCATAAGCACTCAATCCTAATAACTCAGAACATTCATTATCCCATAGCAGAAAAGGTGCATCCCCAGACTTGTCACCAACTCTAACACCCAACCTGTACCCAGGAATTCCCAGTTGCCAACTAATTTTGCAGGTGTCACACCAAAGTAATGCCTTTTTCTGCTCAAGTTTTCTAAAACATCCTTCTTTCTTGCAAGAAGAGTAGTACCATTTTCTGGCACTCTCCAATCCATTGATTCTTGCAGGAACATGGTAATAGCCTGGCTGTTGTATTTTAGTCAAATAGAACAGAGAGTTAAATGTTCCAAATAGTAATCTAAAAAAATTATTTTGATAAAACTAAGAGACTGTAATGAATATTACCTCAGCCCTCCTATAAATGTCAGCTATGGTGCTTACAATCATATGTCTCTTGCTAGAATATTCCTGACTGTTAGGGTATGAAAATGTTGAAACATTTTTCATACTCCTAATAGGAGTCTGCTGATCATTCAAACTGGATAAAGTGTCAATGGTTAGATAGTGATACAAAATAAAATAGACCTTGATGGAAAAGTAAAATTTACCTATCCTTGAATACTTCAAACTCGGGACAATCATGATTTATCCAAACCTTGGTTGCATTATATGAACTTGATATTCTTACTTCAGCTGAAATAAAGAATTAATTTGTTAGATGTTTATTTTCATATAGGAAATGTGTATAAAATAATTGTGATAAGGAGATGAAACTTACTGTCTAAGTGCTTTGCTCTACACAGTTGCATCAGAATAATTATAGGGCCATCAACATTGTCAATAAAATAGGGCAGTACATCATCCACATGTCAATCCCATACTGTGCATTTTAAAATATACTGTTAAATAAATGTTGATTGTTTTTAATGTATTGAATCTAGAATTTAAGATTTCTGAACTTACTTGGAGTCTTCAATAATAAAATCAACCAGCTTTGATGGATAACCTCCTATAGTAATTGACTTTAGAGGGTAAAACTCAACAACCCTGCCAATGACATCTAGAAGAAAATATTGGACAACAAACATTGAGTTTAGAGTAAAAAAATAAAGTATAGCAAAGAAAAATTATTGTATACTAACCGAATAATAATTTCTCAGGAATATTTCTGCCTAGGATATCATCAAAACTGCGAAGCCTGAACATACACTTAGCAAAGCCTTTCCTACGGTGTCTTAGAACAGTAGTTTGATGGTTCAACTTAATCATGTATTTGTCCGGAGTGAGCTTGTACTGATAATAATTAGAAATTACCAAAAAGTTTTTGATACAATAAACTTTTCCCGCTGTGAAATGATTTGAGAATTTATCCAAGTATTCCTTTGGGATGTTGCAATGGAGATAGGCCCCTAGACAGAATAGTTGAAACAAAAAAAAAAAAAATTGATGTAAAACAATTTAGTAAAAACTGTAAATAACAATATAGAAGGATTACAACATTAAAAAGCTTACCTCTGAATCGTGAAACAACAGCTCTTGACTTTTAATAATACTCGTATTTCTCCCTTCATGGACATCATAACTTCTTACTAATCTAAGCCTAATGGCTTTCGTGTAGCATTCTGTGTTGAGATCTTTGGCCAATACAAACAGAGATCCCATTTTAACCAAGAACAGGAGATTTTGGTTGAAGAAGGAGAAGGTGAGAGTGGTGTTTGCTATTCTATAGTATTTATAGAAGGATGATTCTGCCATTGGGTATCTCGAAGGATGAAACATTAATGAAGATTAATGATGATGTTTCACCGAAGACTGAAACGTCTTCTGAGTAGTCGGCTAATAGATTTCAAATGTTATTATTTATATTTATATTAAGAACTTAAAAAGATGTAATAATTGTTTTGATAACTGTTTCTATGCTTCTATTAACACCTGCTGATAAAAAGTTCTGATTTGGATCAACTTCCGATGAGGGAATTGTAGATATTTAAGTATTCTACCTTATGTAGAATACTAACAATTGATATATATTGTTATACGCAAAGTTTTATTGGAGAAAACAAAAATCAAAATAGCATGCAAAAAGAGAAAACAGAAAAAAAAAACGTAAAATGGATCAAACTAATAGTCAAAACGCTGTAGTTTTATATGGGCGGGAAAATACAACCATTTGATTGGCCATGGCTATATAGCTTTAATATATAGAAGGACTAAAACTCATAGATATTTAATTCTTAAATATAAAATATAAAATATAATATTTGTAATAATTTAACGTTAAAATATAAAAACATAAAATCTAATGGTTTATATAATTATTACTAGCTAATAGAATTATTTTACGATACATAGTTTTATGTAATAATACTAGTTTATAATAAAATTTGTAAATTCATAATTTTACACCACAAAATAATCATTACATCAATACATAAATGATAAAATTTGAAAAAAATAGTCTAATAATATTATATATATGCTATAAAAATTAAAACATATATATGCACAAGTAATTTCATTAATCGATCGGTTAATTCGATTAACTGACACTTTCAAACTAAATTCACCTTTAATTAAAATTCTTAAAAATGAACCAAATCAAAATATTTTGGTAAAAAAATTATTAATCAAAATTTGTCATTGATAAATTAATCGATTTTTTATCGAATTATGCACACCCTACTTAAAATGGAGGAAAGAGAGTATAGGTTCCTTTGGGCTTTGGATAGATGGGTTGTATTTTGTGCATTACTAGTGGTGCCTCGGAGGCTCAAATCTTGCGACCGTGGCAAAATTGTTGAAAAATTAGGGCACAATGATTTGTACATTTAGCATATCTGATTGTACATTGTTTTCTGTAGATTTTTGTACAAGCGTATGCCGCGTTTGGGAAGCCCTTTTGATCTTCGAAAGTTGGAAACAGTAAACGGGAAATCTCCGAACGGAAGAAACGAGAAAAAGCTGATACGAAGCCATAATAAGGTTGAAGATGATGAGGGAGAGATCGCTGAAGTTCGTTGTTTCAGCGTCTTTGCTTCTTCTAGCAACCTGTTTCTACAGTGCGATTTCGTCCGATGCTTCCGGTGACGGTGCGGCTTCAACTGCTACCACAATGCACACTAACAACTGGGCCGTTTTGGTCTGCACCTCTCGCTTTTGGTACTTTCAATCTCTCCGTCAATCAACGTTTAGTTTCGTCTGTCACTTGAGAAAATTGATTGGAAATTTTGATTTTTGGCGAACTGTTGGCAGTTTGTTGTATTGTGTGATAAGTTTAGCGAGCTGTAGGATTTTGGATCAAATGATACATTATTATGTTATTATAAAATCTAATTTAATAATGTATTCCGCTGAAAGATTATATATGTGTTTTAATTGAATTTAGTGAAAAATATGTTTTTGAATTGCATCTTATGAGAATTCATTGAACAGTTCATCTCATTTTTATTTGTTTATCTGAGCTCTTTGAGACATACTATGCATATCCAGTCAATATGTATCATTCTCTCTTATATATGAAATGGAAAATTATAAACTGTCAACTATTTTATGCACTTCTTTCTTTGGTGAAGCTCCTATATGTAATATTTGCTTCTCTTTTCATATATTTATTCTAGAATGTTTTACTGTATCTACTGCGCTTTTACTCTGTAGTTTTTCCAAGTAATTCTTTTGGTTGAGTGTATAGCTAAGAAGATGAAATTAATTTTTCTAGTATATTTGTGTGTGTATAGGTGTGAATAGTTACTCCAAACGTTCAATGTTGTGTGGCATCACTAATTTGACTTCTTGATTGTTTTGCCTTGTGAAAACTGAAGTGCCTAGTGAATAATGTAATATAGAAGGAGACTTTGTTTGGTCATTAGATTAGCCTTAATATGAAATTTCCAACTTGCTAAAATTTGTTATGGGTACTCAGGTTTAACTACCGTCACATGGCAAACACTCTGTCTTTATACAGGTAAAAAAGCTTTCTTTTCAGTCAAAAACTAAATTCTTCATATTTTTATCTGGAAGTTCGTTTCTGTTATCTCAGAGTTACTTGACTGTCTTGTGAATATTAATCTGTGTTTTGCATGCAGAACTGTAAAACGGTTGGGCATACCAGATGAAAGAATTATTCTGATGTTGGCTGATGATATGGCTTGCAATGCACGGAACAAATACCCTGCTCAAGTCTTTAATAATGAAAACCATAGGCTTAACTTGTATGGAGATAATGTTGAGGTCAGTAGTTTTGGTTGTCCTTCTAACAATTACTTAGGATTTTTTTTTCCCTATCATATTCAACACTCAATTTAATTGAAACTGGATTAGTGATATGTTATCATGATTGTTTGAAATTTTCACCATTCTGCTAGATGTCTATTAAGGGTTGCAATGGGTATACTTAGTAAAGTATGTTTTGAACTATGCATGGTCTTAAGTTTGAATACCTAATGCTCTTACTTCTTATTTGGTTATTTTGCAAGTGGATCTCTAGTAGGGTATCTATCCGTTAGCCTGATTTACAGTAATTTGCACTTAGATTAGTTTTCATTCATTTACAATTTCTAACTTTTACATGCTTGTGTAAGTCAGGTAGATTATCGAGGGTATGAAGTAACTGTTGAGAACTTCTTCAGAGTCTTAACAGGCCGTCATGAAGCTGCTGTCCCCCGGTCAAAACGTCTTTTAAGTGATGAAGGAAGCCACATACTGGTTTATATGACAGGGCATGGTGGAGATGAGTTCTTAAAATTTCAGGATGCAGAGGAGCTTCAGAGTCATGATTTAGCTGATGCAGTAAAACAAATGAAAGAAAAGCGTAGGTGAGAATATTGGTTTTTTTTTTTTTTTTTTTTTTTTTTTGTGCTGGACTTAACTGCATCATTCCTTAAGAGTGGTACTGATTTGATTCACTTGAAATGATGGTTCACGCTTCTCAATCGTGTTCAATTTTCAGATTCAAGGAGCTGTTAATAATGGTTGATACTTGCCAAGCTGCTACACTTTTCTCTCAGGTGAGCTATTCTTTTCCTAGGGGCTAGGTAATGGGTTGACATTTTATCTACTGCTCCGTGATAACTTAATTGAGTATTTATTAGTGCATGTACAAACCATTTAGTCCTTGTTTGATGAGGCCTATAAGAATTCATTGTAATTGAAGAGTTATCTCTCTCATATTTGATTCTACTAGAAGTAACAAACATATTTCAGAAAAGAAGTAGCACACATAAACTCTGCTGCTTTTTTGTTGTTTCAGAACTTTGGGTTCTCCACTTGTGTGGAGTATGTGTTCTTTGTGTAATTAGTAGCATAGATAGTTATTGCTATTGTCTCTGTCAAAAAATGTGATACTGAGCCTTTTATGCATGATTTGCTATCTGAATTGACATGTATCCTTCCATGTAGCTTCATTCACCTGGTGTTTTGGCTATTGGAAGTAGCAAGAAAGGAGAAAATTCCTATTCACACCACTTAGACTCTGATGTAAGTATATATTTATCCTTTTATAGCATTTGCTCCACAACCGTTCTACCTTTTGGTAATTTTCTTCACTAATAATTTCTTTGTTCCAGGTTGGTGTCTCAGTTATAGATCGATTCACATTTTATACCCTTGCCTTTTTTGAGAGGGTAAATATGTATAGCAACGCCTCATTAAGCAGGTAACTGTGAACTTCAAAAACATTACTTTGACTACCATGGCTAGTTAATGAGTGGGAAACAGTCTTACAGTCCTAATCTCATATTTTTTAAACTCTAGATCTTTGCTGTTTGCTCTCTTGACTCCTTTTTTATTTACTTCTTATTCTGTAATATAATTTTTTTCTTGGATAAATTTATTCATCATAGGTTATTACAGACGATTTGCTTTTCAAAAAACTCATCTTGTGCATTGTTATTTCGCTTCCAACTTCATATGAATCTCTTAGGCTTTGCTGTTAATTTGCAGTCTCTTCAATTCATATAACCCAAATTTGTTGATGTCAACGGCATATTATCGAACTGATCTATACCCGCGTCTACTGGAGGAGGTATAATAACAACATTTCTGTTAAATTATATGTTTAAGTGGCTTTTTGTCAATATGTTTAGATAGTCTGACACTCTGACTTAACTTGCGGCACTCCCCTTGTGCCCTTGCAGGTGCCCGTGACAAACTTTTTTGGTTCAGTCATGGAGACAATCCACACTGATTCTGCATACAAGGCTTTCTCTACTGAAAGGGCTACAATCAAGAAGCCAGTGGATCAATCAGACCATTACATACGAAGAACACTATCTAGTTCTGGTGAGCAAGAGCAAACTAGTGACTCAAATACCAAGGTGAGTCACATAGTTGCCAAGGGCCCGTTTACTTCAGAAAACTGTTTTCTGTTTCTTGTTTTCTAATTTTCAGCTTTCATTCTCTGTTTTCTTTTTAGAAAACTTGTTTACTAATACTCATTTTTTAGATTTATTTTTTTAGACTAAACGTTATAAAATTAGCACAAGTTTAATTTCGAGTGTTTTTTAGACCTTATATTAAAATATTTTTGAATATGTTTGGTTTAAATGGAATAAGGGGGTATAGTTGAAACTTTTTATGCATATGCTGCAGGGTCAACCAGTAAATTGTCCTTTCACACGTTTTTGGAGTTCTATCCACATCAAGATGGAAAGGATCAAGGATGTGGATAGCCTGATGTCATATGGCATGGCATTAATGCTCCCCTTGGTGGCGATTTCCTCTTGGCTGTCACATTGATGATTGTAAGTAGCTTACTCCCATTCTGTTTGATCTTTCCATGTGCACATCTTTTTACACTGTGCCAGGAAATTCCATGTTATTTGGCGAGTTCTATTTCTATCTTGCTATCACAATAATGTCACTGTGGTTTCTTGTATATATAAAGAAATAAGAAAAGTCTGCTCTTTTCCATTCAATTTAACAAAGTGATAATGTAGCATCATTTGTTTAAAAAAAAAAAATTAAACATTATCCAGTCTGTTCAGAATTTTTGTAAATTCTATTCCTGTGTAGCCACTGTAATCTTGTAGTTTACTGCAATGGAAAAGATGTTCTATTGAATTGATCATGGAAGATAGTCTAGTTAATTGTCTGATACTCCTTCAAGCACAAAATGTAAGCACTGGAATGGCCATGAATTTTAAGTAGGAAGCCAATGAAGCATTACTAGGAACTCCCATTCCTTGTCCCCAGCTTTTTGTGTTCCTCATTTATTTATGAGTTAATGCCATATGGGTCCTCTAAGTATAGTGGTTTTGCCACATTTAGTTTCAAGTTAACCACCCGTGGTCCTTCAACTTTCAAGTTAACCACCAATGGTCCTTCAACTATCAAATTTTAACTAGTCATGTCCTTCAACTTTTAAAATTTAACCAGCTGTGGTCCTCCTGGAAGGACCACAACAGGTTAAAATTTGATAGTTGAAGGATCATAGATGGTTAACTTGAAAGTTGAAAGATCATAGATATTAACAATTTAAAAATCGATGGACCATGAGTGGTCAATTTGAAAGTTTAGGACTAAACATGACAAAACCACTCTACTCAGAGGACCCCAAATGGTATTAACTCGTTATTTAGTTTTTACTTATTGTGCCTATATTATGTCATTGAATTGTCCTAAGATTGATCCACTTTAGGAAAAGGATGATCGAAGAGAAGCACCAAAAAGCTGTCGTTTTCATGAAGAATGTAAATCACGAGCCTTATCAGAAACCGTCGCGATGGAAGAACTGAATTCCCAAATGCAACTGATGTCAACCGGTTGATTGAACGAGATGAAATTGTATTTAGCCACGAACAACCTTATGCTCAAATTTAATATCCCTGACTAGTTAGTCCCTCAGATAGGGTATAGGACTTCACTTTATTTTTTCTCTAATCTGTAAAATTGCAAATTTATTGGGTTTTTTTTTTTTTTTTTTTTTTTTTTTTTTTTTTTTTTTTTTTTTTTTCTGATTTAGTGCCTGTATATTTGGTATTGTTGTATGGTCGTTTTGTATTGATGTAAGACTACATCATTGAGTACTTCACACTTGAATTGCATGGATATAGGCTGCCCTCTTTTTTTTGCCTTCCAAGGGAGATAAACAAAAACTTATATAACAATGCCTGTTGGCACTAGTGTTCATAATATCTAGTACAACTTGTGATATTTTGACTATTTTCAATTTGGTTCTTACGAAGATATGATCTTGAATCAAATGTTTTAGGTAAAACATTTATATTTGTGGATAGAAAAAATTTTTTTTTGAAGGTTGCACTTGTATAAATTTGTAAAAAATAAATTTTAAAACTTATTTTTAATATATAATATATTTGTTTGAATACAAGTATACAACTTGTTTATTGGACTCCACTTTAAGAGGGTCGGTTTGTGATCAACACGGATGTTTCTTTTGTTAGTCTGAACCAACCAATAGAACAATTGATTGGAACGATACTACCAAAAAAACAACCATGTTTTGTGATCTTGTTATCTCTCCACCAACTTCATTAATTCACTATTATTTCCTTCATATTCATTAAGAATCTCAACTAATATACTATTCATAGCGTACTATAATTATATTAAAGCAACTTGATTTATTTAATTCATGAGCAGCTAGCCGTCCACCATTTGGCTATACAAAATTGTTTCATTATTTGTTTGTGACACGGGAAGAAAATATAATCAAAGACTTGAATTGCCGGCCAAATAATTTAACTAATAATGTAGCTTTTCCGGTACCATACATTGGAAGAAAATATTATTAGTTGAAAGAAAGCAAGCAAGCTGTGTATTACTGGTTTTGTCTTCATTATATATATTCTCCCATTTCCTCATCACAAGCTAGCTAAGGTAGATCATATCAGAGAAACTAAGTAGTGTAGTGAGGCATGTACGAAGTTGTAGAGTTGCTGATAAGAAGGGTAGCCCAAACTGCAGAAGAAAACAGGTTACTGATCCTTGGGATCAAGGATCCGAGGAGCGAACTCTGGTTGTTCGGGGAAAATCTCAAAACAGCCAAGAATGAGAAGGGGGATGTGCTGAGAGACGTGGTGCAGAAGATTCAGAAAGTTGTAAGTGATGCTGAAGATGCCATTCATAAATACAGTGATGAAGAGCAAAGGAAGCACAAAGGCAGAGAGGTCCTCATGAAATGGGCGGAAAAAGTAAGTTATTATGCTAAGGTTAATGATGCTGCCAAGGAGATGGAGAGCATTAAGAAAAGGGCGGAGAAAACCCGGGTAGATCTTGCCCATTCCCTCCAAGGCTGTTGGCTAATAAATAATCCTCAGCCGCCGCTTCTCCAGGTATGTTACGTTATGTTGTCCAACAATACTCAATAAGCTTTATTCCTTATTATTAGTAGGAAAATACTATATCTACTCCCAACTTATACTCTCACACTTAAAATAGTGATGTAGACACTTTCATAGGGACCCACCTGAAGAAAGTAATCTATCAGTGTCCGTCACATCAGGAGTAAATTTGAGGAAGTAAGATTTAGGAGTACATGTAGTAGAACTCTTATTAGTACTACCTCTATCCCATTTTATGTGTCTGGTTCGGTTAACGAGGCTTAACTGATGTTATTTTTAATTCAATTTTTCATAATATTAAGTTTAGAATTAGTATACAAAGTTTATATATTTAGAAACTATACTAAAAGTACTATTAAACACAAAAAAAAAAAAAAAAAAATTAAAAATAAGTAAAAAATACCCAAAAAAAAAACAAAGAAAAAAGAATTGGTTTGACCAATGAATAGTAAGTATGACAGATAAAATGGGACAGATGGAGTATTACATTTTTCAGTATAATTCTTTCTGGTTGCACTTACAACCATGTTATTTCCCTAACCTCAATTTTCCTGAAATTGTAAAAAGGCTCATGTGGTGGAGGAGGATGGATTGGTAGGCTTTGATGAGCAGGCTCAAATTATAAAGTGTCGTCTTACTGAAAAATTAGATGATACGATTGTAATTGCAATTGTTGGAATGGCTGGAATAGACAAAACCACATTGATCAAGATGATATTCAATGATCGTGAACTTTGTCACGAGTTTTTCACTCGTCTTTGGATTTACGTATCTAGAACCATGAATAGGAAACAATTATTCATGGACATTATAAGTAAATTTACCAAGGTGACCAGTGGTTACAAGGATACGAAGGAGGAGGAGCTGGCAGAAAGAATCCAGGATTTTTTGAAGGAGGAGAAGTATTTCATTGTTGTGGATAATGTAGGGCGCACAGAAGATTGGGATTATTTGAGAACTGCTTTTCCCAACAACCAGAAAGGGAGTAGAATATTGGTAACAACGCGTATTCTTGAAGTGGCTAATCATGTTGATTCTAAAAATGCTCCGCACAAGTTTCCTATATCTTGCAGCATTTCCAATAGGACATCGAATAATTTCTGCCTGGAAATTGATTTACTTGTGGATTGCAGAAGGATTTATTCCTTCTTCTTCATCCCACTCGAATATGGAGGCCGATGGTAAAACATATTTGAATGATCTTGTCAATAGGAATCTGTTGATGGTAGTGAAAAGAAGAGCTGATGGTGAAATAAAAACTTGCCGTCTCAGTGGCACAGTGCATACGTTTTGTAAATCTGAAGCTAAGAACAAGAATTTCTTCCATAGATGGGGCAAGAATAGAAGGAAGAAATGTGAATTATTGTAGTCGCTTGTGCATCCGTTCCTCCATTACAGACTTTGTAGGTTCAGAGAACAAGCTGCCATCATCAGGTGAGAGTATCCGCTCACTTCTAACATTTACCAAACCAATTAAGATTCCCAAACAACACTTAGCAGCTATCCCAAAATCCTATCCATTTCTCAAAGTGCTTCACGCTGAATCCTTCACATTCGAAATATTGCCCAAAGAGCTTTATAGCTTATATCATCTACGTTACTTGGCTATCTCAACTCACAACAATATCATTCCAAAACTATTCACTCATATATGGAGCTTGCAAACTCTTGTGTTCAATACATCCCAAACTACAGTTGATGTTAAGGCAGAGATATGGAACATGCCAAAACTAAGGCATATCCTGTCTAATGCTTCTTTGCAACTCGCCCCTCCTAATTCACAAAGTTGCAAAGCATCATATGTCTAATGCTTCTTTGCTGCTTATTTGACAATATAGTGAAGCAGCTGCATAATCTCCAAAATCTAAAACTCATGCATGAAGCTACCACACTGCAGCAGCCTATTATTCCACAAGCTGACAGATTCCCGAGAAGGCTAAGAAACCTGACCTTATCCAAGACGTATTTTGATTGGAAACACATTTGCGTATTGGGATCCCTGGACGAGCTGGTGGTCCTCAAGTTGGAGGAGTTTTCAGCTAAGGGAGAGTGTTGGGAACTCGACGTTAACGTTGTTTTCAAGAGCCTCCAATTCTTGCGTATTGGGAGAACCGAGTTGGTGTACTGGACTTGTGAGCATAGTAGCTTCCCAGTATTGAGACGACTTTACATATCGCAATGTGAACAACTTAATGGACTACCACTTTCCTTTAAGGATGTGAAGAGCCTCAAGATTATTGACTTGTTTTATACCAACAAACGAGCTGCTACTTCTGCAAGGAATATACAAGACCAAAGACCTAAGTTGGATAAGTTTGTGCTCTCTATTTTGCCCACTCATCATTGACGGACTTCAACTCCATCTATTGCAATGCCGCCAGTTTCTACAAATCAAAAGGTCACTCATTTTTTTTACTGTTACCTTTAATTTACCGTTCCTCAAAAGTATATTATTATTTAATTTTTTTAAATGGTGCAGGAGTATGTATCAAATAACTCGACAGCGGCAATGTAGGGATTATGCTCAAAGTGGATAGATCATTTATGCACAACCGGCATTTGACCATCATGTCTGCTGAGTCATTGAGTTACCGTGATTTACATCATCTCACAATTTTTTTTTCTTAAAAAAGGGTGCAGGAGAATCAAATAACATCTTCAGATATATGGCTTCTCCAGATCATCTTAATACTCGCTGCTTTGTTTTTATTTTTTATTTTCTTTTTCGAAATAAAGGTTGGCATGCATCTATATGGTTGTAGGCCGCGTTCATATGTGGAACTTTATCTGGATGGTGAGTTTTTTTTTTGAAAGTTACTGACTCTATTACATTGTAGTATCTGTTCATATACTTTCTCAACCTACTGAAACACAAAGAACCAATAACGCCCCCACTGAGGCTCGAACTCATAATCTGGATGGTGAGTTTAGTTATAAATTTCTTTGAGAACATTTTTCATGTTACAACTTAAATTTGTGTGACTATCTCAACTATTCCAGTTTTAATTTGCTCATTTTTTGTTTTCATTTGGGCTTGTAGCTATCAACTGCGTTTGGTTGGAACTTTGTAACCTATTATAGGATTTGATACTCATTATACTATTGGATTTTAAAAAGAGTCGTAGATCTTGAATGCAAGGAAAACCTATTTGGTCCCTATTAAGTTTTACTATCAATTATTAATCTGGAATAGGTACAGGAACTATGTCAGGACGATTAAAAAATAAAGATAACAAATGACAAAGGAACCAGACACCAAGAAATGATCACGCAGTTCGGAGCCACATTCCTATGTTTGCGAAGCAACTCACGTAAGCCCAATCCACTAGATGATCAACAAGGAGTACAAAGGGGAGCACATTACACACCACGGTATACATAGCCACTACTCGAGCGAATACTTCATCATCATATTGAACTGAACGTGCATGCCGACTTCAGCAATAGACCAGCAAGCCAAGATGCCTTCAACACCTTCAATTGACACTGTAAATATAACCAAGATAACTAGGGGAGGACTTGAGATAAAGCCGTAGAGATTTTTTCCTTAAATCTTCAATTTAGAAAGGAAACCCGAGAAGACTATATATAGGAATAATTAGAAACTTCCTTGTCTGAATTTGTGCAGCTGATAAGTCCTCAGAATTAGCAGCACCATACGATTTAGAGAACCATGAAAAGAGGGTCTGAATATAACAAATTTGTTGAATACGTTTTGCCCTCTGGAGTTGCGTCCTGACCGTGATCAAGACTGACCAGCAATAGTACCTGGACCAGATCTAGAGCCTAACCAAAACTAGATTTTGACAACTAATTATGCCAACTAAAAGTGGGTATAATGTGTAACATTTTTTACACTTACAATCTCCTCATTTGGTAATTAGTTGACAAAACATAAATACAAATATACATCTAGGCTTACAACTTGGAATTAGGCAAATTTTATTGACAAAAAGCCTTTTGAGTATATTTGCTTACATTTTGAGTACTGGACACAAGACTTAGCTCACGGATCAGTCGAAAATCCATACTCATAGATGCCCGGATGCAGATCCATAAGCTGCCAAAGAACTGATAACACAACTAAGCACACATCCACATAACACATAGCAACACACAAGAATAAATACAAATAGTCAACAAAATTCAAATTTACAAGCAGCAAAGACAATCCAGAGTTGTAACACAAAAAACCACCAACCAAATAAGCAAAAAAAAAAAAAATATAAACACAGACAATTATTATCATTTCAATAGCAGCCAGCTAAAATGTACTCCCCCTCACTTAGTACTCCCACTTTTTGTCAGACTAAGTGCCAAAGTATGATTATCTAGTGATCAGAACTGTGGGCTGACGGAGTACCCATGATTGAAGGACAAATCATGCCTGGTAGTTACTGTTCAAATTCCAAAGAGGACAATTAACAAGAGTCAAGGTCAAACACTTAACATATGTTGGGTTACTTTTAAAGAAACCAGTATTTATTCATGGCCAATTGTATGTTGCTGCTTCTAGAGCAATCCAAATGGGTTGAAAATATTAATATGCAATGACCTTAATAATGTTAGTACTTCAACTACTAACGTAGTGTACCATGAAGTGTTCAATAATGTATAACATTCTACTTTATAAGTCGTATTCTATACAAAATTAAGTTCATTCCAATATTTAGTGAAATCATGTAATTAGTTAACGTACTTAAATGTCTTTTACCCTAAACAACTACAATTTAATTGGCGGTTTACATGTTACTATGGTTTCTCTGAGAGGTCTCGGCGTCAGGATTCATGGGATTTCTTGCGAAGTCTTCGGCAACGATCGAGTATGCCTTGGCTAGTTATTGACGATTTCAATTATTTAACTTCCCACTCTGAAAAGAAAGGTATTCACCCGCACCCTGATGCCCTGATCAGAGGCTTCAATGCTGCTCTTTTTTACTGTGGACTATCAGACCTGGGGATGACATGGCATGCATTTACGTGGGACAAGGGGCGTGGTACCGATCATTGGGTGGATGAGAGGCTTGACAGAGCTGTTGCTACTATGGAATGGCGTAATATTTTCGAGACTGCTATTGTGAAAAACTTCCATGCAACAACATCAGATCATATTGCCATCTTTCTTAGTTTGAATGGTAATTCTCATTGTCGTCAGGGACGTTACTTCCGTTTCGAATCAGCTTGGTTGTCTGATTTAAACTGCAAATCCATAGTATAAGCTTCTTGGCGGCAGTCCCACTTTCACGAGTTTCAGCAACGTCTAATATGCTGTGGGGATGCTCTATTCCGGTGGGGTAAGGATTCTTTCCGCAGATTTGGACGTAGAATGCAGTATATTCGTTTGGAACTTGAGCGTCTACGAGCTAGTAGTGGCATTTCTGATATTATTCTTTTCAAATCCCTATCTGCTGAGCTTCGTATTTTATTAACACAAAAAGAGATGTATGGCGTCAGAGATCAAAGAACCTTTGGCTCAAACATGGGGACCTCAATTCCAAATATTTTCATAAAATTGCATCCTAGCGCAAGAAACTTAATACTCTGACGAGGATTCGAGACAATAATAATCAATGGGTTGAGGGTGATGCTTTGTGTGCAACTATCATGGATTATTATGAAGGCATTTTTCATTCAGAGTAGACAAATAACATGAATTTCCATCATGTTACAAGTTGCATTACACCAGAAATGAACGCTCACCTTCTTCGTCCAATTGAACCGGAGGAAGTGAAGGATGCTCTATTTTCGATGGCCCCGGAGAAATCGCCTGGTCCAGATGTTATGACCCCAGCATTTTTTCAATCGTTTTGGTCGGTTGTTGGTTTGGACCTTATTCAGTTTGTCTCAACCTGTTTTATCAATTGTCAGTTGTCGGATGGTATTAATGTTACAAATGTGGTACTCATCCCGAAGAAAAAAAATCCTGAAAAGGTAACAAACCTCCGGCCTATTGGCCTATGTAATGTAGCCTACAAAGTTTATGCCAAACTCATTGCGAATCGGTTGAAGGTGGTGTTAGAGCATATTATTTCTCCTTCGCAGAGTGCATTCGTTCCACATAGGTTAATATCTGATAATATTATCCTAGCAGGTGAAATTGGCCACTATCTTCGTGGTAAACGTTAGGGATCAACTGGATGGGCTGATTTAAAATTGGACATGGCTAAGGCTTACGACCGAATGGAATGGGGTTTTCTTGACAGGATGCTCACAACACTTGGATTTGCCCGTGGGTGGGTGGATCTAGTGATGCTATGCCTGTCTACAGTTAGCTACAATATTTTAATTAATGGTGATTTAGCTGGGCAGGTTTTCCCTACTCGGGGTATACGTCAGGTGGATCCTTTATCGCTATATTTGTTCATAATATGCGCCGAGAGACTATCACTACTTTTACACCGCCAGAAATCTAGAGGTAACATTCACGGGGTTTCTATTGCCAGGGGTTCCCCTCCGGTTTCACATCTGTTTTTCGCAGACGATAGTCTGCTCTTTTTTAGGGCAAATGACAGGGAGGCTCAAGAGGTTATGTAACACCCCCTAATTTCCATGCTATTTAAAGCCTTAAACATGCAGATATCTAAACAAAACATCAAACACAGTGGAATTCTAACAAGGATTATATAAACTGGAGTGAAAGGGGTGCTATGCCACGCTCACCCAGGGGTGAACGCACAGGCTAACATCTGCATAATTCATAATCTAAAAACCATACATGTCCAAAGTACTAAAGTCTATCCTTGGCACACAGGCCATAAAAACACAAGAAGGGAGCTACACTAGCAGGTTCTAGACCGCGCTCACGTCTAAACATCACCTGAAAGAAACACATAAAAGATGAAACGACGCCCGGTCAACGAATAATGCTGGTAACCCACCAATACATGTGAAATATCATACATAGATAAGATATACATTTGTAAAGTCATTTGCGAAACGGAATACATATATATAAGTTCAAAACCAAGAGCAGAAGTCAACACAAGACTCAAACGCTCACAATGAAGATAAGGGAACACATCCCAAGACCACAAAGAACAACAACGACTCACAAGGACGGCTCAAGGTATAATCTACCATCACACAGTAGATTATCACCCGACATGCATAACTCAAAAGAATAAGGACACAACCAATGGCAACGCATGCCAAGGCAACACATGCCTTTGTGACTACACAAGTCACAAGAAGAGAACTCACAACAACGGCTACACAAGCCTTCGTGACATCACCCATCACGAATTGATATGCCTTCCTTATGCCCGGTTCCAACCTTATGGCTACCCCCATCCTTTTGTCTAGTTCCAACCGTTACCTCCAGGACCCCTGTACACCAAGTCTAACCTTATTCCCCTGGGAACCGTCGTTCCCCCTCCAACAGTCCCTCCAACAGAACCACCGATTTCATAGTACACGAGGGTACCGATCACACACACGGCAACACATGCCACCCAAGAAATACGTGAACCTTACACAAAGGCCACAAACTCCATAATCATGTCATGGCCACCACGAGGACCACTGCCGTACCTTGGTGACTAGTGTCCCATACCACTAATCGTGCAATCCAGGTACAGCCACACACACCACACCTCAACAGGAATTAACCAACAGATCACAACGAAGATATGAAACCATACTCAATCAAGAATGGATCACAGTCCATCAACAATGATGAATAACACAAGTTATCATCAACAATAGGAAGGTACAAACAACACACACGCTAGCATTTAAACACCGAACTAGCATGCTTATCAAACGGGTAAACCAAACGTAGTTCCGAAGAACACACAAGACTC